AAGCTACATTTGCGAATTTAATGAGTTAAGCAAAGTTTTATGAATGTACGGGTATTGTAAGTTCGGGTCTAGTAAAAAACTTTTTCAATAATTGGTTTTTGCATATAAAAGCAAAAAGTAGCTACCATAAGAATGTGAATAATATGAAATAAAAACAAGAGTCAGTTGTGTAGCCAGTTATAAGTTAGAACTTACGTACCGCAGGTGTGCAGAAATATAAAGGTACAAAATTGTTGCCAAGTTGGTTGAATTGCTTTAAAAAATGAAATTTTGTTACATGCAAACCTCATAAAAGTGATTTAAGTAAATTCTTTATTTCAAAAGTAAACAATTTTAATAATTGCAAAATATTTACTGCAGTGTAATTGATAAAATTAGTTAATCCGGCAATAAATATAATTAGACTAGGTTCCTTAATATCCTTAACGTGATTCTATTATAATAGTTAAAATGATTATAATGATTATATTGTTAGGCGTTGTTGCCATGTCTGAAAGGTGAAGAGTAAAGCAGGCCTATTAACACATTTTTACATGATTGTATTCTATTCTATTTTATTCTATTCTATCATTGCAGCTCGCTTTCAAATATATTAAATTTATATACACATAAACTTTATGAATCTATGATAAGTAATAATTGCATTCAATGATATATTCAATATTTAATTTGGCCATGCTCTTAAAGTCATCAATACGTTGGGCTAATCCTGACACGCCTAATCGATTATTACGAAAAGTGTGGAATCAATACGGTTTTCAGAACTATTTGTCCTATTATATGGTATATGAGGTTTAAATTTGTTATAACGATTGTCAGGTTCTTGATAAAGCAACTTTTTTAATTTACTTTAATTTGACGTGTACTTGTACTTTCGAACAAATTGCTGGGAGCTAATGAACATCAAAGGTGTTGGATAGGCCTCATTCTCCTCCTTCTTCACGCTCTCCTCATTCTCCTACGTATCGGCGCATAATATCGAAACATGTGCTAAGAGTACTGTAATGTTATGTCATCGTGACAGTTAATTACGTCAGAAAACTATCGACTCTGTCAGATTCTTGGTTGTTTAAAGACTTGATTCTTTTTTGTTAGCTCGTAGCGCAAATATTTGTAGATTAATCCCGCTATAATTAGTAGATGTAGATGCCTCATGGGAGGGGAAGGTGGGAGGTTGAGCTCTATCGTAAAGTTACTGCTTCCATTATTTCACTATCAATAAGCTTATTTTTTAGAACTGATTTGAATACTATGCAAACTGTCATTATGGCGGGGCTGTCGAAATGTTGTTTTCCCGGTTAACGAAGTGCAGTGTGCAGTGCTATTGTCTGAAAGAATCACAGTGCCGAAAATCACATCACCTTTTCGTGACTTGCGGCCTTAACATTCCTTATAGTATCATTCTACCGTTCGTTTAATACATTTATATAGATATTTTTAGATGTCATTGCAGCTACCAATTCGTTTCCAGTTAGGTTCTTTGAATGGAATTCGTAGATAATTTCCATGGGCAGTATTACGTCATTTTTTATCATTTATTGATTATCCATTGAATATTGTTTCTCCTATAATATCCTTTAAACACTACAGTAATCTAAATGTTATATTTAGAAAGTCAAGAATTGTAATTCGATTTTGATACAAGAAAGGTTGGAGAAGATCAAACTGAAGTTGAAATACAAATAGTATTAAAGTTTTGTAGTAATAATTTATTTTATGACTCGTTTTGGTTAATTTTTTTTTTTTTTCGGGTTTAAGCTAGTTTTTTATTGATCCATAACATTGAATTCTTACTTAATATGTAATTAAAATAAACTATATTAATTAAACGGATTCGAATAGCAAAGAAAAAATAAGGGCAAATATTTTTTTAAATTTATTGAAATTTGGCAGACCACACGAGTATTGCCAAGTTTCGAGTATTGCCAAGTACTCATCACTCATCAACAAGTTTCGAAATATCTGCGACTACAAATACCAAAGTTTTGATAATAATAGTCAACAGAACTTTCATTTTTATTGGATGTGTAGTCATTACTTGCATATATATACCAGCTGAATAATCGATGCAAAGGAATTCGTTTATAAAAGGGATTGGAAACTCACACCAACTACGAAATACTGACTGTAAATCAATTCACAATTTTGTGGCATATTTCTATATAGTTCTGATGACAAACAAAGCTTTCATTCCACTGATATGTGTTCTTTAATTACTCAACACTAGGTACAAACTAGACCGAAGGAATGTCATCACTAATATTATCAAACTACTGTAAAACATCAATAATTTCTCACACGGTACGGTGGTTTCCAACACTATGTACTGCTGGAGCGACATTTGAACTTGTATTTGTATCATTTTGCATAGGAATTACCTATATTGAAAATTTGTATTATGCACTGGTGAAGTATTTGCTTCAGTTGCGTTCAAAGAGAACAACGACGAAATTGGCACATGCGATTATGATGGAAACTTCATTGGAGCCAATACAGCAGAGTTTGCCACATTTGCGAGATGCGTTACGAGCAGTGACCATAATATGTTTGTTGATGCACAAACAGCATTATTCTGCATGCTTTGGGTTGCCACAATAATCATCGGAAAAGTTATACTCACAGTATATGTGGTTGCTGTTGACGACGATAACTTAGTATATGTACAAGAGTATTTGACAAAAAATAATTATTTGCATTTACCATTGCATCTACGTTTAATATATACACTAATATACCTTGGACAGGCAGTGTTAATGATTCTAATGTCCACTAAAGATGTTATACATCGGTTCTCAATTGTGAAACGTTCGCTGACCACATTAGTACCGCTGGCGTTCTGTCTTCCTCTTCCTCACAATTTAGCAGTTGTGTGGTGAATTCATTTTCTGGATTTTTCATTTAAATTTTTTATCTGGATCGCGAAATATTCTTCTTACTATCTTGCTATCTGCTTACTATCAAGCTTCCAAAAAGAGGAAGTCAAAAAATTTCATTTATCACTGAAGATGATGGCAACAACCAAAAAAAGTAGGATAAATAATGATATAAAAAAATTTTTAACTTTTATTTGTATCCTAAGTAAAAGACCAAAGTCGTCCAAATAAATATTATCTTTCAAATTAATTTATTTTGTCAAAGGTGTGCCATATGCCATTATATCTGATATTCACTGACGTATCGTATAAAATGCAAATATAGGAGTGCTTTTTATACATTATGGTTGAAGCTTTCGAATCTGACTTTATAAGAAAAGCCACTGCACTTTACGTATATCCCTTGAAATAAGTTAAAGTTAAGTATTGGTAGCGGTCGTATATGTAAGTAGATCTGCAGATTTAGGTTTTGTAAATTTCTTGACATTTATGAAATCGCCGTGTTATGTACTGTGCCATGGGCTCTTTAAAATTGTTTCTTTTGGGCTTTGACGAAAATACATGTTATGCAGAAAGTCACAGAAATTGTAACAATTAACACAAATTTTGATATTTATTACTGAATACAATGCTTTGTACTTTCTGTTTAAAAAGTACAAAAGTAGTTTTGTTAACTACTCCTTAAGTAACAGACCCTTTTCAAAATTTTTTTTTTTGTTATGTTGGTAAACCCTTTCTTGACATATGGAAAAATTTGAGCGCCATCTGTCAATTAGTTTGTTTACAGCAGCTGTTAATGTGAGACTACCTCAAGTGCATTTAGCGATTTTTACTATGGAATTGAACAACGAGTTTGTTTGAAATTTTGTATTTTGAACAAAATTTCATGTGTTGAAGCATTGAAAATGGTGCAGAAAGCTTACGGGAACTCGTCTGTCTCGGACACAGGCATACGTGTGGTATTAATCATTCAAATAGGGTCGTGAAGTTATCGAAGATTTGCTTCGTTATGGACGTCCATCAACACCAAATACCGAAGAAAACGTAGCAAAAATCAAGAAAATTGTGCTGGAAGATCGTCGTATAACTAAAAGGGAGATTGCTCGTGATTTAAACATCTCAAATGGATCCGTTCACCACATTCTACATGATATATTGGGCATAAGATGCGCTGCAGCTCGACTTGTACCGAAACACCTTGATTTTTTGCAAAAAGAATACCGAAAGAACGTGTGTGAAGAAATGATTTTTGAGCATGGAAACGACTCTACATTCATGAAACGCATCATAACAGGTGATGAGACATGAGTTTATGGGTATGACGTCAAAACCAGTCAACAATCGAGCAAATGCCGCTTCGAAAACAAGCCAAAACCCAAAAAACCGCGTAAAAGTCCCTCGAAAATTAAAGTTATGCTTACTGTTTTTTCGACTACCGCGGTGTTGTTCATTACGAATTTTTACAAGAGGGTCATCAATAAAGAATATTTGTAAAAAAAGACCAGATTTGTGGAAAGCCAACAATTGGATTCTTCACCACGACAATGCTCCATCGCACACGGCTCTTGTTGTACGTGATTTTTTGACCAAACACGGCACCACTGTCATCGCTCAGGCACCATATTTGCCAGATCTGGATTCGTGTGACTTTTTCCTGTTCCCAAAACTCAAATTGCCCCTTCGTGGTAAGCGTTTTGAGTCGATTGAATCGGTAAAAGAGAATTCGCCGAAGGAACTAAAAGCCATGCTTGCACGAAAAGTGTATGGAAGATTGGGTTGAGCGTTGGCATATGTGTATCGCTTCAGAAGGAGCATATTTTGAAGGAGATAAAATAAATTTGGAATAAAATTTAAATTTGTGTTTTGTTTATAAAATCCGGATACTTTTTGAGCAGAAGGTATAAGTCACGAGGTACAGATAATCTCGGTTGTCATGATATGTTGTTGTTTCTCTCACTCTATATTTTATAATTTATATTGAAAACAACTATTTTGCTCATGACATAATATGGTCCTACCTTTTTTCAAATTTAATAACAAAAATGTATCTTAATAAATTAATCTACTATGCCTTGCTTTCAAACTTAAATGAAACATAATTATTTTCAGATAAAAAGTGTTTCATATTCCTAAAGTGAAGTTCGTTTCTATTTTTTATTCGAATTTGATACTATATTGTGAGCATTCAGTTCAAGAAAAATTCAATCAAAGGTAATAAAATTCAAAATATATTTGAATCAACAAGTCCAACTGTGATGTTTATAGATGTAAGTACTAAAATTTTTTTGGTATTGAAATAGTAGTTAAATAATTTTTTATAAATTTACTCGCATATTTAACTCTAAAACTTGAGCTACAGAGAATTGAAACATACGTTCAGCCTTAAATTAGATATGAACTCTCATTTCAGTTCAGGTCTAAAAGTTTATGAAAGTATTCACACTAATAAAATAATATATGGAACATGTCTTAATAAGTGAGTTTAATTAGCATCCTATTTTATGTTTACACCATTATAATTTTATTTTGAATTTTTTTTTTAATTTTCAACTGTGAAACTTTTTCTTCTAAAAAATACAACTAGTGAAAAATTATTGCTATTAGGATCGTTTCATTTTAGGAACAGGTAATGATCCTTTATTACATCAAGGTAGTGAATTTGAGCTAAATAAAAATAAATATTAAAAATAATCAATTAAACTGTTATCCGAAGTCCAGTTTTTCTAGAAATGGTAAGTGTCTAGAAAATAAAAAAATTTGTAATAAGAAAGAAAGAAAAATGTCCATTAAATATTGGTCACATATTGTTTGTTCATTAAGAAATCATGATTTGCCCCTACTTAGACTAAATATGTGTATTTAAGCCAAATGCATAAATATCTGTTTAATTTAAGCATAAAAATAAGTACCAAATTAATAGTTAAGGAACATAATTGACAATTGTGATAGTCTTTTGGTTAAGGCCAAATGAAGCATAAAATTGACATGACCATCCGTCATATCGATCTCTATACCCAAATGTTTCTTTTATTTCGGCATCACTGCAAGGTGAAACTGCAGCATGTGAGGCGACAATTCAATTTATAGTCAGGAATAATGCAGTTTTTAGTTGACTGCAAACAACCAATCAACCTAAATAGATTTAGGTTGAACCATTCTAAAAACAATGTATTTATTTTCAAAAAGTTGCGATACTTAATTCTGTTGTTGTATAAATTTTAAATATTACAACCTATTTTGAAATTTTAGTAGAACCCAAAATGCTTCCAAATGAAGGTTCTTGGCCTGATTAAATTGAGTTAAACAATAGCAAATAATAACAATTATATATAAAGAATACGCTTTGCTTTATTTTCTTTATGTTCCATATCATCACAACAAAGAGTAACTAAAGATATATTTTTATAATAAATGTTTATTTTCTAATAGGAATTGGGATTTCTTTCGCATAAGCCAATACAGTTTCTTACATTTAATATCTCTTTTTATTTTGACATGTTCTTTCCAACGCAGTTTCGCATCTAGAGTCAAGCCAAGATATATAGCAGCATTTTTGCTTGGGATTACACAACTATTTAGATAAATAGGCTTATTTTGAATTTTCCGATTTGTGAAGTTAATGTGAACAGATTTAGTACTATTAAGTGTTGTTCGCCATTTCTTACACCATTTACTGACTTTAGAAATCGTAGCTTGAAGTGTGTTAGTTGAATCATCAACATTTGAACCAATACTCAGAAGAGCTGTGTCATCCGCAAAGGTAGCAGTTCAAAGACCCAGCGTTGAAGGGAGATCGGCTATACTAACTTGCGGCACCCCAGCTTTGATTGTTTTCAGGTCAGATGTTATGTCATTTTGTTTCGGAAGAATCTGTCAATCAAGTAGGATTCCAAAAGATCGCAAAATTGTTTAGGGAGCGTACTTCGTAGTTTTGACAGAGGGCCATTGTGCCATACTTTGTCAAATGCTTTGGCTACATCGAGGAAAACAGCAGAGCAAACTTTATTTTCTTCCAAGGCTTGTTCAATAACATTGGTAATTCTGTGAATGTGATCGATTGTAGAATGTTTATTTCTACGTCCGAACTGATGGGCTGGGATAAGTTTTCTGTCCTCAATAAGTTTGTTAAGACATTTAGCAATAATTTTTTCGCGCAGTTTTGATAATACAGGTAGATTTTGATAATATATGCGTTCCACTATATAAAAAATCACAGTGCATACTATTCGCAGCTTTCAGTAGTTCTCTTCCTTTGGTTGTTGTGAGGCGTGAACCCCAATGTGTGCTTTTTGTGTTAAAGTCTCCTCCGATGATGAATTTTTCGCCTAAGTGTTTAAAAAGTTGTGAGGACTTGACAGAGTGTCTTGGTGGACTGTATAAAGCAACAAATTTCAAGACTTAGGACTGGAATTCCACACTAACTGCTACCACTTTAAACTCAGCAGATGACAGCTTGCAGTATTTCTAATGTTTAATATTCATTTTGATTATGACGGCACTGCCTCTACAGGCACAGTTGTTTGGATGAGTTGAGTGGTAGACATCATAACCATTTATTTTGCAATAAGATTGGTTCGTAAAGTGGGTTTCTGCGATGAGGCATATATTTATGTTCTCAGATTTGAGAACCACTTCTAGTTCATTTTTGTGTTGAAACAACCCGTTGGCGTTCCAGAACATAGTCTTGGTAAATTTAGACATGTTGGATATTTGTCCTCTTTTCAAGGAGTTGAAGGCGACTCTCAAGTTGCTTATTAAAGGCTTCCTGAACATTACTTTAGTCCAGAATTTTTAATAGTAGGCTATTAGTGTCTTGAGTCGATGGTAACTCGGTAGAACCACTTTTTAGAACTTCAGCGAATTTATTTTTTTGCGTATTTATTGCTGTATCCGCAGTTTCTACGTTACTGATGCTTTGAGAATTTCGTTTTCTTTGTGTATCCCTGATTTTTTGGAGTTGCTTGGCAACTATACATCCTCGCTAGTTAGCTGGGTGAGATTCGTCACAAATGCAGCATTCGCGGTATTACTTCAGCAGGTTTAGGACAATTACTCGTGCTATGCAAGCCTGTACATTTAACGCAGTGTGGGACTTTTGAACAGAAGTTTTTTGTATGGTTAAAAGATTGGCAGGATGTACATTGAGAAATGAGTGGAGAACTTTTGATTGGTTCAATCTTGACAATATTATTAAGAATTGTTTTAATTTCGTAGATTTTTTTGATATCTTCGGTAAAATTGAACGTGAGCAAAAACATATCCAGTGACACTTTGGTTTTATACTTAAGCTTGTTTACATTGTTAATTATTTTTAACCCTTTTAACGATAGACTTGAAATTATCGCCGATTCTGTAATCTTCTGCATTAAAAACTGTTACTTTGAAAATACCATTATTAATAATTTTAATAAGATATTCATTTTTGACAAGGTTTTGGTTAGTAGCCTAAAATTTCGGATAATCAGTGATATTGGAAACCATTATAGGTGGTGGACGCAGATCAAAGTTTTTATTATTAGATTTTTTCTCATTTACATTAGCTTGGGCGTTATTAGCTTCAAAGGATTTTTCTGCTTCAGGTGATGAATTAGCTTTCTTTTTTTTGCTTGCTCTTTTTTTCTTTTTCAATATCCAATTCGTTTCAAAATTTTGCTCTTGCACTTGAAATAAGAGGTTTTTCTTTATTTTTCTCAGCAGATTTTACTTTTAAGTAATTATTTTCAGTACTTAAGACTGAGATTTCTTTTTGCAAAGCAATTATAAGTTTTTCCAGTTCGTTTATCCTATTTCCCATGGCTTGAGTATCGTTTTTACCTCCTGTAGGAGGATTAATTTTTTTATATTGTAGACACGTATCTCACTTTCAATTTCGATTGTTTTTTTCATGAAAATTATTTTCCCGGTTCTTAACCTTTTCTTTTTGTTTTATAAATAAATAAAAAGTTTTATTTTTATGAAAGTTTTCAAAGTTACTTAAAATTTATACTGTGGCAACGCCACGTTTAGAATTTCTTGCTTTCGTTAAGTAATGCATATGCTGTCTTTATCAGCTGATTTGAGCAAAACTCAATTTTTGCTTTTGTTTATTTTGTAAATCTTTTAAAATTTGATGCTGTTTTAATAAACTTCTTTCATCTATGATCAATGGAACAACCGATCACAATTTTGCGACCGAAATTCAACGTTTCGGACTAAAAAAGTAATAAAAATTATGGAGCGATCACTTTTCGCTCGCGTTCTATTCGCCTTTCGTCAAGAAACTCGTTGACTAAGTAATGATAAGTTATTAAAGTGAATTTACAGAAGTATATTTTATCATATATTCCTGAAAGAATATGTAGTGCATTAGACTTAAAAGCATACAACTCTAAATTCGTGAGAGAATCTTTGAATCTGCAGAATCAAACAATTTCAGCGTTCTACCCTTGACACACTCTTGCACATTCTTAACTGTCAAGTTTCTTTTCTGGTATATCATGGAGCTTTTAGCATACGTTTGAATACAATATATTGATAAGTTTGAAGTCTTCTAATGGTGGATGGAGCAGCATTGCCGTAAGAAACAAATCCATTAGGTAGGTTAAGTCTATTTATTTTACTATAAAGCAGAATTTTATTTTTCACTCACAACTTTCCTTATATTAATGATTATACAGCATACAGAGAGCCAGGTTCTTGACTCTTATATGTTATTCTATAGCCAAGTGTGTCATCTTCCAAGTGATTGACTTTATTTTCTTTGAATTTTGATTTCTACGGCTTGTAGTGAACATTGAATTCGTTTTTTCAGCACTTACTCTAATTTTCTACTTCTGAAAGCATCTGATTATCTTACCAATACTATTTTGTAAATTGTTAACAGTAGAATTATCATTTTGGTCAGCGAAGACTTACGTATTTTTTAATCAAGCATTTTGAGGTTACCTTATGCTTCTATATTTTATATCTTCATGTGTTTTTGAGGAAAGTTAGGTATATGCTATATGAAAATGCACCTTTTCACATAATTATATTTAAAGATAAGTATAGAAACATGCACAAGTAGTTACGGTTAGATACAACTGGCAAATGGCGGGTCGGTGCGGTTGGACTTAATATCCTAACCCACCACTGTACCATTGAGAAGATGTTTGGTTATCTTATATGAAGACGTATATACTATCTATTGTACCGTATATGCCATTACGTAGCTTAATATGGTACTTGTAGAAATAAAAACTAACAAGTTTTCAATGAAATGATCAGATTTTAATTTTGACACGAAAAGTTTTTTACGTTAAATGAATTGAAGAATTTTTTTAATTAAAAAGTTTTTATGTAAGAGTACGTTTACAAAATTCTGAATAATTTATTTTATATACCACAGCCTTTTTTAATTAATGCTGTCAAGAAATCAATATCGTTGCTCAAATAAGAAAATTTTTACCTACTATACTATTGAATCCAAGAGTGGTTCGTACCATCAATATTATTACGATCGTTTGAAATTATACAATAAAGCAGAAATAGAACAAAATTTTGAATACATCATAAATTTTGTGGCTTCAAATTTTCCGCTTTCTAAATTTGAATTGCTTTGCAAGATCTGACACTTATCTAATCCAGAAGATTAGATATAGTTGCAAACCGGTTGTGTCCTAAAACTCAAAACAACTAATTAAACTTGTGACCTATTTCTGGAACTGCGGTAAATATAATCCATCCTTAATACTGTGATTTTTTGTTGTACAATTTTACTCATTAAAAATTTTTGGTTTTAAAGCTGTTTATTCCTCTCAAATATGCATTCTGAACTTCAAGACTTTCGTTCTGTGCTGACTAGCAAATGCATTACAGTCGTACAGAGCGGTAGAAAATGTAAAGACGTAATTCGCACCATTAAATCGTAAGTAAAAATTTGATTTTCCAAGATCTTTTGTTTAAATTCTGCTCAACATTTAACATTTAGGAAGTGCAGTACTCAAAAGTTTATTGGGTATGATGCTGAATGGGTGACTGTTGAAGGAAAAAGAAAACCTGTTGCGCTCTTGCAATTGGCCACAGCAGACGGATACTGCGCCTTGATAAGACTCTGTAATATGGATTACATGCCAAAGGTCCTGTCAGATTTTTTGAGTGATCCGACCATATTAAAATTAGGCGTTGCACCAGTCGACGATGCACTCAAATTATACAATGACTACGGCCTTAATACTAACGGCACTTTCGATTTGCGCTACTTAGCTGTGCTAACGGGTCGTAATGGCGGTGGCTTAGCGAATTTGTCAAAACACGTACTTCAAGTACAAATGGATAAATCCTATTATATTAGGTGCTCCGACTGGCAAGCCGATAGGCTGTCTCAAAGACAAATTAGTTACGCTGCTGCTGACGCTATTTTGGCTGTTGATATATACATGAAATTATTTAACGAGTTGCTGCAAGAGTAAGTATTTCAAGAGCGTTAGAAATATCAGAAAAAAATTATTTTTATCTAACTTTAAGTTGCGGATTATCCAAAGCATGTCAGTCAATTTTTCCATTATTAGACGTGGAGTATGCTCAGAAAAAAGCAAATGATATGAGGCGACAACGACTTCAACAGACTATCGAAAGAAATTTGCAGAAAAAGCAAAAAGAGCTCTCAAATACAACGGAAAGCGATTGTTTAGAAAAAGAATCAGAGCAACCTCGATGTAGTGGTCACTCACAAAGCATAGGTGCTGGAAACAGTTCACTATGCGAAGTTCTTACTTCAAATTAAGCTCACGTGAACTAGTAAGGCGATAGGTTGGTTTTAGAGGCAAAGCACGTTGAGAAATATGTTGGGTCTAAAATAATTGACAACAAAGTACTTCAACACTTGATGAAACATACAAACCAAACTCTCTTCGATCTTAAATTATTCAATAAGTACTTGAAAAATAAGGTATTTGTGCGAATATATTTGATACTAACATGGATATCACTACGAAATTCCATTACAGAGTCAAAAAACCCAATTAAGAGTTTAGAAGCGAATCAACATTATTGAGCCGGTAATAGAGCATACATACATATACATGTACATATATATTAATTATTAAGTAATTTTATAGCTTCAACTTTTGCGACTGTGCTTTGCTTCAAAGTGTCTACTTCTATCAGCCTTCAGAAAAACTATAGATGAAAACCAGTATAGATTTCCAATTTAATTGGAAAATGAATTTATAAATGCAAACTAATTTCTAAACCACTCTTCAACTTAAAGCTTAGAAGTTAGTAAAAAAAATCTACCTAATTACGTGTAAGTCTAATTCTATACATTCTCATAAATTTATGTTATAACTGCCCATAATTTACTGATTGTAGCAATTCATCGGGACGAAATGGAATTGTTTTTAAAAAGACTAATATGAAGAATTATAAACACATTGAGAAATTTTTGTGACAATTGCTTTTCGGACCCAAAACTTTTGCTGTGGAATATTAAAATTATCGAATAGAGGGTGGCAGTTCCAAAGGAGCTATAAAACTGGTTAGGCTAACAAAATGGTAGAAAAGGAACAAAAAATTATGAAATATTTAAAACTGGACTAAAAATATCTTATTGCACTGGACTAGTATTGGTTCCTTTATTAGTAGTTTTACAGATCACTTTCGTATACAAAAACGTTGGTTGAACAAAACTTGCGCTATATTTTGTACACAGGAAAGAACGACGAATTTTTACACTTAAAAGCTTATATGCGTTTAGAACTAAAATAGAAAATAAAATTTATTTTAATAGCCAAAATTAAAAGAGAGTTTAAAAAGTATTTTATATAAATATTTCACAAACTTTTTGAACATTTTTCCAGTAATCATATAATGGTTGCACCGAATTCTGATGGTAGTGCTTAGTGAGATTATTAATAAACAAAATGTACGTATTACTATATTGGTAAAATAGATGATTCACTTGATTCTTAAGTAAAAGTTTTTTTTTAGAATTTTCCGTAATCAAATTAAGGTCTCAAAGAAATATTAAATGTTTATAAATGATTAATTATTAAAGCTTGAAAAGATTATTAATGTTAAGTCATTTCGAAAACATAAAAATAATAATCCATTTCGTGGTTCAGCAGAATGGTATTACAAGCCGCTCAACATGTTGGATACTTCAGGTTTTGTGGCGTCTGAAGTAGCCAGAAAGTGTGATGTCAAATTATACTCATAGTTACTCTAAAGATCGAGCTGATGTGGACAATTCTCTCAAAAATAAGTCGTCCATTTATAAACACATTATAGAGCTGACTTTGTTCTATGGCTGTATTGTTTACATGAGAGTTCTTGAAACTCACAAAATTTGTGAAAGCGCTGTAGCGTATTAAACGGATAGTCTTGCATCGATATCTCCGAATTGAGATCTCAGCTATATAAATATTGAAAAAGCACTAAAAGATTAAGGATGGTCTTGCGTCGATTGAGATCTCAGCTATAGAAATATTGAAAAAGCACTAATAGATTACAACATCATCCACTTGATTCAACTCTCTTTGCTGAACATAACCTCCACAACAAAAGGCATACATAAGAATATTTATAAAATAATAAATAAAAAACTTATCGCCATGTTGTTGGTGATCTTATATAAGTTGTTTATTTTAATTTAAATAAAACCAAGTTTTTCTAGTTATGTACTTTTGGTTCACTTAATAACCCAAGTAAAAGTGAACGAGCATGCTTTTTTAGAGTTGAGAGCTAACAAATCCAAAAGGCACTTTCCCAGACAAGACATTCTGCCGTTAATGAAACTAAGTGCAGGGGCGGATTCGAGAGGCCGCGGTTGTAAACTTATACCAACTGGACTCAATTGGACTTATTTACTCTTGCTCTTAAAGTGGATATGACTTTAACTTTAAAGCATTGTCAAACATAAAACTAATAAAAATAAAAAGTAATAAAAATAAGACGCAAAAACTAGAAAAATGTAATCAAAATTTAATAACTAGAAATGAATAACAAAATTTAAAAAATTCTAAACGATATACTGCAATCTTTTGCTATTAAATATAATGTTGCGATTTTTTTCTATTATCCTTTTTGGTTGCCAAACCACAAGAATTAGTTAACCGTTGCATTTTTTCGAAGTTTATTGAATTTCGTACTTGTCTGGCTTCTTTCCAACAAAGTCAATCTTTGTCTTTGTACCACAAATTAGTAACAGAAAATTCTATGAGTTCCGAGATACACAAATATGCAACTGAATTTGTGCATATGTTTGGCAGAATATGCAAAGGATCCATGCATGCTGTGCGACGATAAAAATTAATATATATGTCCTTGACGTCAAGTATGTGCAAATAACTTCAACAAAAACATATTTAAAGTGCACAAGAAAATTGCTGTAAAATTATTCCTTAAGGACATTTGTTAAACGATTTTTGGAAAGCCAATTTTTGGCAAACAGTGAAATGGTACAATCTGGCTACAAGGTAGAAAAGATAGAAAAAGGACATAATGTACGAGTTCTTACTTATTTTGGTTTAAATTTGTTTTTTACTTCACTTTCTGTTTATGGCGCAAGATATTCAAATTGCAATTGCGCTCAGGAGAAGGACTGCGTTCTAAACTTGCATTGCATATTTGACTTATTTTTTATTTATATTTTGGACCAAGAAGTTAAAATTTTGCTAAAAATGTGAATTTTATTTTCAATGTGATCAGAATAATTTTTCTTATATCTTCAGTAGCTGATAAGCAAATTGGATGCAAACAGTTTATAAGAAAAAATGAATAGAAGAAAATATTGTAAATTAGTTTAGAAAATTGAATTCTGTAAAAATTAAGTTAAATTCTTTATGAAATTGAATTAAATAAAGGAATTCAGCAACATATTTGAGAGAAGCATATTGAAAGAAATACAGTTTCTAACTAATTATTATTAACTAATTAACTAATTATACATTTATGCGTTTTAACATGATTATTTATTTCACAATATTACAGCTTTCACAACTTTAAGAGTACGTGATGTGTACGTTAATATTTTGACATTCAGAGCTTTAAATTAATTATTTATGACCTACATTTCAAAATTATTAATTTACATATATCAGACTTTATTTACTGACCAGAATTATTAATCAGCACAGGAGATTCAAAAATAGTTTCCAATGTTAGGTTTTATATTAATTATTTTAAATAAATTAAATAAATAGAAAGAAATAAAATTGAATATTTTAAAATATATTAAATAACTAGCTCGACCCGGCGAACGTTGTTTCCCCTTGCAATTAATTTTCCTGGCGTTCGTTGCGTTGCTCTTGACTTTCATTAGCACGTGTAATTGCATCCTGGTTTCTTACATCTTCATTGTTTTCTACCGATCTATTTAACCGATGGTTCTGGAGTAATTATGAATTCCGACTCCGTCGACCAATATTTCCTCCTCGTCCATGAAGACGTGGCATTGTTTTTTGTACAATATTTATATCTTTATATATATAATTCTTCTTTTTTGTGTGTTGAATTTTTGAATTCGCTGGATTTACCAGGAATACCACCACATAACTTAAGATTAAAAATTGGCTCACCTATAATTATGCTGCGGAATTTAAATGCATTTAAGCTATGCAACGTCAGTTTTACAATTCATTTTAGAGATTTTAAAGTTTTTAAACAAATCAAAGTAAGCATGAATAAATTTTAAATTTTTAATATAAATGTATATGGATACCAAAAAATAAAAAATTGATTAAAAAGACTATATCCAGTGGGCCAAATTGTGAATCTAAACCTTCCTTGAATCCACTTGAACACACACAAAAAATTTCATCAAAATCGGTTCAGCCGTTTAGGAGGAGTTCACTGTCAACACACGTACAGAAGAATTATATATATAAGATAATAAATAAAAAAAAAGGTGAAAAAAACTAAAAATTAAATAAAAATAAACTGACAATTGCTTTTAAAAAAAATAAGTTAAAAAAAAGTAAATAGAAAGTGAAAAAAATAACTGAATTTTATCAAATAAATAGGTCCATAAGTAATGGCACAAAAAACACTTCCCAAAGTGAACAAATAAAAAATTGGTTAAATAAATAAGCGAATAAGCAAATGGCTAAATAGGAATAAAAAAAATTAAATTAATAATTTTATAAATTAATAAGTGACTATAAAAAACAGAACCTCAAGTATTGAAGTGCAAATTTGCGTTTAAATAAATGAAATTTAAATATTGATTTATAAATAAAATAACTAGTAGTAGACAAAGAAAAAAATATAAATGAGTAATGAATATTCTAATTAAATATAAAATAATTAAATATTATCAATAATAATCACAATAATATTATTAATTAAATGTTTTGAAATATATTTGCACCATTTTATCCACTTAACTCATGATTGATGTAATGCTATTTGTCAAAATTAGAGATGAGATACTCAAATATATTTTATTGCACCAGATGCCATAAGCTACTTTTTTTCACTATCTGTATTTATACATGTTTACCTTCAAAGATATGTTGGTTGCAGTAGCGAGGCGTCAGCTTTTTGGCAAGGTGTTGACAATTTGATCAAAACAGAATTCCAACTATAACGTATTCCCTCTACTTTTAAGCCTTGTCCTTTCCATAAGCGAATAGCGTACAAGACCAACAAAACAATTTATTTAAATGTTCGCAGCCTGTGATCCACTGGTTTTTATTTACCATAAAGCTGTAGCTGTAGGAAAACGGCGACTTACCACAGATTTCGACATTTTTTCATCGGGTACCAAATTCTTTATATCTGAAGTTGGTCTGTTCATTTTATGAATTAAAACCTTTTTTTCAGAAGATCGTTTAAAAAAAGATATTTGAATCAAATCTTTAATTACCCATTTATCCATTTCTAGATATTATTTTTCACTTCAAATTTTTTAAATTTTTTCTTTACTTTTACCTTTTGTTAGTATAAAATTGCAAAAATTACTTTGTTTTTGGTTTATTTCCAACCTCTACATAAGTGTAAGAAACTCTCATGCATTCATTTTCTCTTTTACTTTGTATTTACTAT